TACCTGGGGGCAGCTGGGGAAGCACCCCAACATTGTCAATGCTGAAGTCTGAGTCTTTAGTTTTCCAAGAGAAGAGAGCAGTGATGCTGGAGGAGACAGAGGAGCGAGGGGACCCAGGCCCAGCTTCCTCCTGCATTTGTCTCTGCGTTTGCCCATCTCTGCCTTCTCTGACGACTGCTCTTCTTTCTTCCCATAGGATAAATCCAGTGTCCCCCTGGGTTCTGACCTGTGCTCCTCCCTTGTCACTCAGCTCTCTCTTTCAATCATATCCTGGCTGCCATCATCATTCCTTGTAAATGACTTTAAATCATTTAGATAATAAACGCTCTACCTCTGGAACATCTCTCTCCCTGCTCCAGGCCAATCTGTCTACCAGATAACAGACAGCTCAAGTTCGGCCTTCCCCCAGTTTGACTGTCTTCCTAGGGTCCTGATCTCAGGGAGAGACCCTACCAGGCCATGGAGGCAGCTTCCTAAGCCCAAGACCATGGCACTTTCTTTTGGCTGATCAGCTCTGCTCAGTTCTGTCTTTTCAGTTTATCAGCTCTGATCATTGTGAGGAACCAGCCCCACTCAGGACACTCCTAGTCTCTTCCTGCTTTGCTTCGGTAAGACACTAACTGGTCTCCGTTCAGTTCTTCCCCCACTCACTGCTGTTCCCACAATGTGACCAGAAGGCTCTTTTTAATAAGACACATCAAACCTGACCACCTGGATTAGATACAGAATGGCTTCCACTTGCCTTCCAGGTAAATGTTCTACCCTTTCACTTGCCTACCCCAACTTGGCCACACCTAACATTTGTACATTTTTTATCCCTGGATGAAATTCATTTCCCATGTGTTCATCTTATTGACTCTACTGCTTCTTCAGGGTCCCCTTTCTGTACACGTGTCAATGATTGTACCTATGGGGTTCTAATTTGTAGAGGTGACTGATAACATGGAGAGGGCAATGCTACTAAAAGATTTGTATTATTTACATCGTCTGAGAAGAAGGGAAAGCACAGTGCCATAACAGCTTTAATTGTACTTTCCATGGGAAAGGCAAGGCAGGGGAAACAGCTGATAGCGGCTTTATAGCACTGGCTGGTTTGAACATTCTGGAAGGCTTTGGGACACAGAAGCTGTCCCTAGTTGGCTGGGTGCATGGCCCTGGGTTAATTGAGGACAGAGGAAACACTGGCTTGGTGTGTAAGAGTTAGATAAAGGAAGTGGTTGGGAATATGGACTCAATATTTCAATATTGGTTGGTTTTCACCTAAAGGAGCACTGGAAGACAGGTTTTTATCATCTTAGGAATTAACTAGTCCTGGGAGGGGCAATCTTGAGCCCACAGGCCTTCTCTACCTGCAAGATATCATGACATCATACAATACAGAAAATAAAAAATGTGATTAATGCACAACCCTATGACCTGTTGTGGTATGGTACATCTCTCACTGTATTTATATATCCCGAACTTCGCAAATTGTAGGAAACAGACAAGAGTGGGCATCTTGTCTGTCTCAGTGATCACTGTCTAGCAGGGTGTATGCTCAGTAAATATTGTGGAATGAGAGAATGGATGGATACTTTTCTTCCTGGCATATATGGTTAGTGTTTCACCTAGAAAGCACATTTTTTTCTAAATATATATTTTCATTTCAATTAATTAAAATATATTTTCATTTTAAGTGTGAGGTTTTTTCCAAAACTAAAGTTTAACCTGGCTTAATGTATGTTACTTCTGTATTATAGAGGACAACACATTTCTAAGCTCCTGTGTCAGCTAGTGGTTCTTTGTTGGGGGTGATTCTGCCACAGGGGACATTTGACAATGTCCGAAGTCACAAGTGGTATCCAGGGGGGTAGAGACCAGGGATGCTGTTGAACTTCCTATAGTACATAGGACAGCCCCCTGCAACAACAAAGAATTATCCTATCTAAGATAGCGATAGTGTGTGGTCGATAAACCTGGTATTAGAGGATGTGTTTGACAAGCTTACCTAAAAACTTTACACAACCAACCATGTCCCCAGACTCTTCCACAAAACAATTTCAAGCTAAGTAGCAGATATCTTAGAAGAAAAGAGAACAGACCTAAGGGGAAACTAATGTTCTGAGGAGGACACGTGGCAAGCTACAAGTATTTAAGCAACTACCGTGAAAGGAAATCTAAGTGGATTAAGAATGATAACACCGCACTCAGGGCTTAGGAGGAGAATCAAAATTATAGGCTTTTTAGCTGACAGTTAAAAGGTCTGACTTTAAGGGAACATGAACAATGAGGGAGGAGAACAATCACGTACACTTATAACTTCAACGTTGTCCTCTTTAAAGTTGGAGTTGTTTTCTCATGCTGACATGCTGCCATTGATCAAAAAGATGCGTCACACCCTTTTGGATCTGTCTTCACAGCTGTGTCGTGTTCTCTTAAATATCATCAGTAGCCGTAATTAAATGTCACCCTCTGAGGCAGGAATTTGATTTTAGGAAACTAAGTTATTTGAACTGATGTAACGTGAATAAGGAAAGTCATCCGTGTTCCTTATGCTATTTTCATAAAAACTAAGGACAAGTTATATGTGAAAGAAATTGAAGTCAAATGCAGTTCTAAATGGAATTTAGAACTGTCTTATGCCAAGTCAACATAGTTGCACTAAGTGTGTACCCTCTTGAGATGACTGTTTTCAGGAGAAATATTCACGTCGAGGTGTGAGTGTCAGCCAACCATCCCCTGGCAGCGTACACGTCACTCTGTGTACGTATGTGGAAGTAACACCGCACTTGTGCATAACCTAATGTCTGTTAGACTGGAAATGTTTAGGACAGATATCGGGCTTTAAATATGTCAAAGTTTAATTTTTAACCTGTTATAACACACTTCAAAGTCTGGATATTCTTATATGAGGCCAGAAGGTATTATCTTTGAGATCTTTCCTCTAATGTCAGCTTGACTTGGGTGATGTCAGCCTAGTCTGAGACAGCTTTTTAGTGATGCATCTAGTGCACACTAAATGTCTCGAGCTGGATCAGTGCCGTAAAAGAAGACTTGATAAAATAATGCCACAAGTCTACTCCCAGGTAGAGGACCAACTCATTGCACTTTGCCTGGAATTGTCTTGATTTTAAAATGAAAAGTTATACCTCTTAGGACCACTCCTCAGTCTTCGGCAAATAGAAACAGTTGCCTCAACTCCCAATTTCTTAACTAACGCCTGCCTTATTTTTGGAGTATCTATAGTAAAAACAGAATGATGACTCTGCCAAAATAAGTAAGAGAAATAGACATGTCCATACTGGGAGTAGAGCAACTTGAGTCAAACAGCAACAAACGTCGGCCAAAACTTGGCTAAGCCACTCTCTATCTTCCGTGCTGATTCAAACTGGAGTTAGGTTTAACTTTTAATTTTATTATTTTTTAGAGACAGGGTCTCAGTTGCCCAGGGGGATCCTTCCACCTAAGCCTCTCAAGTAAGATGTTCCTGTTTATATGATGACACAGGCCATGTTCTACCAACCAATAATAGTAACCAGCAAACAACAATAACCATACAATTTTCTAACTTTCCATCATGCTTCTAATATTTGTTTTGGTTTTTTTTAGGAGAAATAACTTGATAAGTAAGGTCCCTGCACAAGGAAGTAATTGCCTTATTGAGTTTTTCACTGGTCTTGTATCTTCTAAGCATTTTACGTGATGCTTGAACAATGTATTTTGGTGGTGTTTAGATGTTCAAAATATACCATCATTTGGGAGAATTTGGAGATATAGGCAGTCCCTAGGTTACAAATGAGATAGGTTCTATGGGTTGGTTCCTAAGTCGAATCTGGATGTAAGTTTTAACAGGTACATTTACCTATTACCTGTAATATTCTTATTCATGAGTGTGAGTTGTATATAAGTTGGATGATCATAACTTGGGAACTGCCTGTACGCAGTTAAGGGACAGGATGATGTGATGGTAAGCACGGGCATCAGGGGACCTGTGTTTGCAGCCTGCCTTACCATTTGTGAATGACACTGGATTACTTGGCCTTTCTGAACCTAGGCCCCTTCATAAAACAAGCAACAAGCATAATTATGGAATGTGTTTATTGTCTGGCACTGCCATTTATTAAACGACAATGAATATACAGTCCTTAGTGCCATACCAAGCATATAGCAAACACTCAATGTGAGCCATTGTTATTTCCACCTACCACTTTCTATAGTCGTATTCTGACTATTTCAGAGTCACGTTGTCTTTCTTATTTTCTATCCATTACTCTTTGCAGAGGATGATGCTTTAAGAAATAAGCAAAGAATATAAGAATTTCGATAAGACAATTTACTGTCAGTCTAGTTACCAAATATTTAATACAGTATCATTTTAAGAAAATATAGAAAAAAAACACCCATGATATAAAACCTTTTATAAATAATCCCCAAATCAGAATGCATTAAAGAAAAACAGACACCTACAATTTATACCTTTAGGCAAGTGACACTGAAACATGTCTTACTTGGGACAAAAAAGGAAGATGTGTTTTGCATATCTATTGAGATAAAAGTATTAGAACCCTAAATGGGATGGACCAGGATAATTGCAGTGCAGGTTTCAAAAAGCAAGATAATGGGCCCAGAATTCTTTCATATAATTGTTTTTCAAAGCTCCACAACTCCACCTGTACTCCCCCCAAACTGGGAGCTAAACAGCAGGTACACATAGACACACAGAAATGTAAAGGTATCTGAGACCAAGAATCCAGGATGTCGGGAGGGGGTGAGGAGTCAAGTGAAAATTTACTTATCAGGTACGATTGCCCCTGTTCTGGTGGTGGGCACACTAGAAGCTCTGACTTAACCATGTTTTTTGTGTCCCTATAACAAAAAACATTAGCACCCCTTTAATTCGCAATTAAAAACAAAATTCTGTAACATGCTGACTTCAAAACTTGGATGCTACATACATGGGATAAAAATAAGTAACAATTTGTCCCTCCAAAGTTTCTCTTATCAGCTGTTTTGAAGGCAGCTATTTAACTAAAGAACACATTCTAAAACACTGCTGGGAAAATACCTAAAAACAAAAACCAAGATTTGTCCATTCTAGAGCCTTGTGGATCAAGGCTTTCCGCATCACATGGCCAGCTAACCAGGAGCAGATTGAAAGAACAGAAAGTAGGAAGGGACTTTCATCTAAGAAGCTCCCCACATAAAATACTATAAGGTCCAGATGGCAGAACCTTAAATATGTGTGCGTGGTGGTGTTTGTACAGGATGAACCCTGACTTTGAAGGTTTAAGAAGAAAGGTAAGACATCTGGCAAAAGCAACATTCTTGGCAGAATGAGGGCTCAAGATGTGCTGTTTTGTGACTTCCGGTGCTGTTTTGAATCCAACGGACAGATGATTAGGAGAGGCCAGTGGTTTTCCTGCTTTTTCTGTGATCCAGTTTTCAAAATCTTCAACCCTAAAAGAATAGAACCAAGGATTCCACGGCTTCTGTTTTCTTCTGCGAGCCCCACGTGGCGCTTGCTAGGTTCTCTGTTACATTCTAACAATTACACTAAAGCACTAAGCAGTTATGTTTTATGTTCTTTAAACTTTCTAGAATCGGTACTATTTGTCTTCCTTGATATCATTGGAGATTATTGTAACTTTTAAGGATTTTACAAAGTGTTAATCTCTTTATAATTTCACTCTAATATTTCCAATCCAAGATAAAATATTTTAGCATGTTCTGTTTTCTAAATGGCTTATATAAAATGCTTGAGAGAATGCTATACTGAGAGTGGTTTATTTTTTTGCAATTTTTGGCTGGGGCTGGGTTTGAACCCACCACCTCTGGGATATGGGGCCAGCGCCCTATTCCTTTGAGGCATAGGCACTGCCCTATACTCTGAGTGTTTTAAGAGTGAAATTGATTTTAAAAAGGCCCTGTAATGTTCTGCAAAAGTCAGTATCATTCAAACAAATACACCGAGGTTAAGACTTTTGGGTCAAACCCTTTGAATCAACCAGTTGTTTCACAGAACTGATTAGTTCTGTGGCTTTTGTGAAATCACAGTTGCTTCTGTGTGACTTTGTGAAGGCACAGCTAAGGTTTTTGAACCAAATACTCTTCCTAATCTCCCTGTTCTATCAAGATGACTATTTCACTGGTGTTTGGTTTTACAAGAGATTACAGTGTTACTTGGCTTCAAGTAAGTTTAATTTGTCTTTAAGCAGATTGAGTTCTGTGAACTTCGGAGTTTCTGATGATAAACTTAACTGTCATCTCTGTATTATCTCTTTTACAGCCAGATGGGGAACATGGTTTACATCAGGCACAATGTATATTTGAACAATAAGGTCACAAGTGGAGTTATATTACCTTTTATGGGCAGCGAGACATGTAATGTGGTGCAGCCTTCCCCTTCAGGCTCGCAGCAAATGGGACACAGGACTTTGTTTTCATGCCTGGATGCCCATACCATATTATTTTCTAAGCATGTTCATGTCAATTGCCTTATGTGAAGCAGAATGTCCTCAAGTGCAGAGGAGGATGACCTGCAGTTGCAGCCCTCTTAAACTTATTTCAGGTGGCTTTAATCAAAGTTATTGCTTCAAATTCGGCTCTTCACCCTCTGTTATCCAGCTCTCTCACTCTCCCTGTCAGGGTGGAATGGGTATTATATTAATAAAGCTTGGCCTAGGAAATCATCACACTTCTGCTTTAGAATCCATTCCCTATTAAAGGGCAATTTTGAACCTTATAGAAAAAAACAACAACTTAAGGAAATGCAGCAGTTGAATTCTGGCATGTGGGATGTTTTAAGACCTGAGAGGAAGTGTTTTCATTCAGCTGTGTGTGTGTGTATAAAACAAGTGCATGTGAAGATATGCAGTAGAACTTCCATAGTTGATCACCTTCCTACATTGACCACATCCTGAAATTGACCTAATTTTCATAGACTGAAGATGTATCACATGTATAAACCAGTATAGTAGGCCTACTTCCTTATGTTGGTCACCTCCATATGTTGACCAGTTTGTTACAGTTCCTTGGGTGGTCAACTTCTGGAGCTTCTACTGTGTACATAATAAGTGTATATGTATATAAATATTCAGGAGGATAATGTAACTCAAAAAGCAAGATGATTTAAATAATCTGTGGGCAGATACCATTATTATAGTCCAAATGACTCTTGGTTTAACGCCACCTAGTTTGGGGGATCTTATTAATGGTTGACATTTGCAGCAAAGCATAATTTTGCATGCTTATAATGACCTCAAAATAAACTACTTCGGTCAGTTATTTCTGTAAGCTAAAGGAAAGAAAAAAACCTCTTTTTAGAAAACCTCTGTGGAATTTTTGTAATGAGAGGTTCAGATGGGCTCTGTCTCATTTAATATTTCCAACAGTGATTTTTTAAAAGAAGGAATTTTTAAATTAGTTGATTGCACTAATAAGATCCAGGTTGTTAACATTTGGGTTCACAGGAACCAAATGAAGAACGTAACTACAGGACAAAAATCAATAGTAGGAATCAAAGGTAACTAAAAGGAAGGCAAGCAGTTGTTGAGACATAGCCGCTCCAGTCATGTCTCAGCACCCTGTATCCGGAACTGGTGCGGGATCAGAGCGCCTGGGGGGACTTCTTCAGCCACAGGTCATCGCCCCCACCCTGCACATCTGATTCATCAGGTCTGGAATAGGGTTCAGGAACTTACATTTCTAACAACTTCTAAGGTGATGTTGATACCGTGGGTGGGAGACCTCAGTGTGGGAGACCTCAGGGAGCTACTGCTCTACCAAAACTGGCTCTCCAGAGGTCAGACTGCAAACTGAAGACTCTGGCCAACATACAGGGAGATAGGAAAGCTTCCAACACAATGGAAGGGGTCCAGTAAGGGTTGCCCTTGCAGCTCGGCGGGGTTTGGGCTTGTATGCCTTGTCTGAAGGCCCAAACCTGCTGGTACACACTGGTTGGGTCCTTCAAACCTAGCTGGTTTACATTGAAGGGTTTCTTTAAACTTTAACGGACTGGCCTCTGTTGATTGGCTCCACGACTGGAGTGGCTATGTCTCACAAACTGGTTATTTGTGCTGGTATCCTTTCCCTACCCAATCTCCAGGGGGAAATTTTCCCCTGGCATTGCTCTGCTTGGCAACAGCCAGTGATCAATGGCTGCATGGGTCGCTCTAAAGGAGTCCCTCCCCTTTAGTCTACATGCTGTTTCCCAGACCCAGCTTAGAGCCTTCTGACTAATATCAATTTCATGTTGTGCAGTTAATTTGTCACAGGCTTAAGGCACTGAATACGCACTTAGAGTTGCTCAGTAGTGAGGATCTTCTTGATCTAACCCACTGGAGAATCTTAAAATAACAAAGCCTGGGTCCCTTCCCGGACAAATTGCATAAAAAATATTGTGGTAGGACCTTGCTATTTAAAAGCTTCCCAGGAAATTCTAATGTGCCCGCATGGTTAAGAACCACTGGTAAGGCTAACTGTATATTATCAATGGTGATGATATGACCTCCACCCCGACAAGGGAATGAAAATTGAGGGGGGTGTGGGAAAAAATCCTAGCAATTACAGTGGTGTGTAGACCTCCAATGGCTACAGGATATAAACAGGTGTATGGTAGATCTAGACTGTTGGCATTTAATGGGAGCAGTGGGGAAGGGTTAGACAAAAATGTCTAAAAAGACTTCTTACGAAGAAATAAGGACAAAAAAGATATAAAATATGACCCTAATGCTGTGAGCTTGCTGTTAGTTTTTAGTATTCTCTCTTCCTTCCAAAGTGTGACACAAATCTAGGGAAAATAGAGCCTTTAAATTCTATCAAATGTTGAGCAGCTAACTAGGTAGACAAGATAACTCTCATTACCTTGCACTTCTCTTTCAGAATACAAATCATAACTGGTTTTACTTGATTTTTCACTATAACTCCGTTTTTAAGATATTGTATAAGATAGTGGAAATTAGTCTTCCTGAGGCTTCCACGGCAATCAGGTGGCTTCAGGTAGCTTTCTTTCTAAATAATTGTCAGATGCACTTGATCAGGTTTGAAAAGCAACATTCTGTTAAAAGAAATCATGGTAGGAAACAACCTGTACATTCTGTTCTCAATATATTTTCCTAAAGAATTTTTAAAAACTGTCATGAATTTGTAATAAAACAGCTTTAGAGTATAACAGCCACAAATAAGGCAAGTATTTTAAGATATCAGTGGCTACATATAATCTTTTGCTATGTGCAAAGGTGTAGACTTGTTTTAAAATACATCCACGATTTCCTTTTGTTCAGGTATGGTGAGACCAGCAGATCAGGAGACAATCACCATTGGAAAGATAACTTGTTACTCATTATTCCCAGCAGGAGGAGCATGCAGGGCACCAAGGCCACAGGAGGAAGCTCCAGGGCACTGATGTAGTGGACGCAGGGGGGAAAGAGTGAGCCGGAGGCTTTGTTGTAGTTTTTACAAGGACTTCGTGAGGCAAGATAAGCAGCTGAGCAAGTTTGGGATTGGTTAATTTGAATAATTTTGGCAGGTTCTGGGTTATAGGGGTTGGTACCTGGTGCTAGGATGGTTAGAGCAGAGAAATACTGCCTCTTGGCACCAGATAAAGGAGGCAGTCTCAGGATCCGTTGGTTTGCACGTGAAAGGTAGGTGTAAACCACAGAGGCAAGCAGTTTACTATCTCTAGGAAACAGCTAACTCTGGGAAGGGCAGCCTCTTCTCAGTGAGGTCCCAGATGCCAGAGCATCCAGAACACAGAAAATAATATAGTTAAAACAAAATTTCATAGCTAATACGAGAGTAAGTCAGACCCATGTACTAGATTGGTTGTGAAAAAGCAGAATGATAGTCAAATGTCGTGAAGTAATGTACTTGCACATTGCAGTCTGGTCCCTTTCTACACAACTAAGTATAAAAGTATTCAAGTCTTCGTGCCATTGCATCCATAAGTCAGGAAAAATCAGCTGTGCTGAGCAGTAAAATTTGTTGGGAGGGAACAAGCAGAGGCAGGATTTTACTGACCTGGTAACCTTGTATGTCCTATCTTACATCCCTGTGTGCTCGGTCTGTACAGACACAGTGTGTAACTGATGCAGGTTCAGAGCCGATACTTCCTATTACCAGGTGGCTTACTCCATGTGTGCTGCTATAACAAAATTACACAGACTGGGTCATTTATAAAGACCAGGAAGTTATTTCTAGCAGTTCTAGAGGCTGGGAAGTCTAAGATCAAGGCACCAGCAGATTTGGGGTCTGAGTGCCCACTCTTGGCTTCCGAGATGATGCCCTGTTGCTGTATTCTC